TCCCAGCAGACATGTTGTGTGTACAGGGCCTATCTCCCTTTCCTCCCAGGGCCAGCTTAGGATCTCACAGGTTGTTCAAAATTGCTCACTGTTCTGCCAGGCTGGAGGGGGACCCAGAGAAGGATATTACTAGGTGCAGGAAAACTCAGACTTATTTGTTCCTCATGGCAGCCTCCTGTGGGGTGAGAGATCCTGTGTTTCCTATTTGTGGAAAGCCTCCCCAACTTGGGGAGGGTTTCCTCTTACCCTTCTGTTTGGTTCTGGGCTTCTCCAGCCTGGTCTGCTCTGTAATTGTCCTCTGTTCTTTTCCTTCCTCTTTATCATCTTTGTCCTTACTGTTTGTATCAGTGGGGTTGCTGAACTCTTTGATTTCTTCTCCTTGAGATCTGTCTCCCAATTTGAATTACTCGAAGTTTGCGTCAGTCCAATTTTCTTCCTTCTAGATAGGAGCATCTGATGAAAGCTACTTCTAGTTGGCCATCTTTACCTGCCCTCGAACACCTGAAGTTTTGATGAGTTTTCTATAGAAGGCACTAAAGATGGCCAATTTTAAATGTATAAATTCAGTATTCATTCACTATCTTCAGGTTTTATTTACTTTTTCTGTATATCAAGGGTACTACTCAGTTGTGTATTCTGATACTTAAAGGATTCTAGTGGCTTGAAACTGTCCTAGAGGGATGAAAATTAACTTGTGTTCCCTTCTTGAACACCACATGTCTGTTCTGGCCTTAGACTATTCTCAAAGTAGCTGTCAAACCAGTCTCTAGCGCTTATCCAACACTTGATAGTAGCCTCTTTTTCTCCTTTTCCCCCCTAACTTCTCTACTATAGTTTCAGCCTCTGTTTTCTGGTCGGGCCTAATCAACTATGAAGTTCTTGCTTATTTGGTCATGTTCTGACCTCACTAGTTTTCATTTTGATCATGTACAATATGACTCCTCCCTCAAAGAATTACTAGTGGTAGCTCACCCTTATTTGAGCATTTACTATGTTATGTGCATCATTTTCTTTAAGCCTCACACTGAACCTGCAAGGGAGGTACTGCAGGAGCCTAGATGAGGCACAGGTTAAGGGTTAAGGACCCTTAGGACCCCAAGGTTAAGGACATTGTCTAAGGTCCTACAGCTCATAGATGGCAGAACTAGAATTTGAACCTGGTTTTTCTGACCCTAAAACTGTGCTTTTTAACCAGTACATGAACTTTCTCCCTTAAATCAGCAAGTGTTGCTCAGCTTGCCAGTCACGCAGAGCAGCTTTGGCTTTCTGTGAGCCTGCAGTTCTCTCATAGCAAGCCACAGCAACAGCCACTCCCTGAGCACGTGCTACATTCCAGGCTCCATGCTGGAACCATGGGTTCTCTCATGTTGGAGTAGCATTTTCTTACAAGCTAAACCATGGAAGGGATGTTGGGTAGGACAAAGCACTTCCTGGTTATGATTTGAATTGAAAAGAGAGTCATGCTATGGATCCCACAGTATTTCCTGTATAATGCCAGTATGAAGACCTCACACAGAATCACCAGCTACTGGACATTTTTGCTTAATTTCTTCATGCTCCAAAGAAGTTAGAGATGTAGTCTTACAACTCTACTTTAACTCAAAGTGCAGATACACGGAGGGAAAACATCTTTCATTTTCCTCATCAGAGTTTCCCAGTTTCTATGCTGCCTATCCTGGTTGTTGCCTCTTTGAATTGAAATTTGTCTGAATGAGGCACCCAAGAGAAGGTAAATGGTAACTAGGAGACAATGTCTATTTGTCTCTCTCTAGTGACCTCCAGTCCTGGTTCTCCAGCTGCCTTGCCTTTATGCTTCTGGGATTCAGAAACAGGATGTGATCATGGCACAGTCACATATTTGGATATCTCTACCTTCCACAGTGTCTTATAAAAAGGTCACTCCAGATACCAGATAATTGCCCTTTACTTTTTCACAATCTGGTAGAAATTAAATGGTTGCGAGAGTATTTATTTGTTTTTAGGATTTTAGTTTTATTCTAATTTATTTTATTTCCAACACTGAAAAATAAACCTGAGAATCTGGATAAAGAAAAGCCAAACCAATAGCAGTTGGCTTGGAATTGGGTCATTCCCAATTAAAAAAAAATGTCTAGGTGGTATGTTTATTCCAGTGCCAATCTAATTCAGTTCAATATTTGTTGAATGCCTGCTGAGAAGAAGATAAAGAATGAATAGGACATAGCTCTCACCCTCCCAGGAGTTCACATTCTAATGAGAAACTGACTTGTAATACTGTTAATTCTCAAACAAAGAAGGCAGTATTAAAAGTCTATACAGAAGCTTAAAGAAGGTGTTGTGGGAGTATTGGAAGAGTAAAAAAAATTATTTCTAATTAGGGAATCTGGAAAGATACTGATTGGAAGAAGGAGCTTTTGAGCTTGGTCCCAAAAGACTATCACCCGAAGACATTGAGGTGAAAGGTAGTTTAGGCTGAGAAGTCACATACTCTACAGGTATGAAAGCAATTAGTCTGATAGTGTGGAGAGCAGTGCAAAATACAATTGGAGAGGTGAGTTCAACCCAGTTTATGAAGAGCCTTGAACACTAGACTAAAGGTTTGGACGCACTGTGTACGTTATGGGGACTTTTCGATACTCACCCTCAAAGTTGTATAGGAGTCAGTTTCCTATCATCATAGCCCTTGGTTCTTTCTCAGTGGTCCCAGATTCCTTCCAGTTACATTCATATTTATAGGATAAAGATTCTCTGTGAGAAATACTTGAGTTTTAAAAACACACCATGTGAGGTTGGTTTAAGCATCTCCAGTATATCAATAATGCATTTAATTTATTTCTCTTCCCAATACTGTATATAATACTGTATATAGCTACACATACTTTGCATAATCATTAAATAAGATTACAGCATATGTTGATATAACCCAAGAATAATTATTCACGAGCGGGGTGGTATTGCATCTGGAAATTATACTACTCTGTCATCCATTCCACTCACTTTGAGCTCACACCATATCAGTTCTAGCTGTTCTATCAGATTTCTCATTACTAGCTCTATTTACAGTCTTTCTCTGATATTCCTGTAAGACCCTCACATTAAATTATATCAAATGCTTCTTTCTCTAAGATATGTTAACTTTACTCCATCCTCTTTCACCATTCAGCTTGTCATCTTATCACGAACAGGAATTAGCTTTGTTTGGGATGATTTGTGTTCGAAGAATTTGTATTGACTACTGTTTATCACTCAGGTTTCCCCTAGATACTCATAAATGACTGCCTTAATAATTGTCCTCACAGCTTACTAGATATTGAAATTAAATTTATGAGTTTAATTCCCTGAGTTCCCTAGGGACTTTTTAAAAAAGAAAAATGGAACAAGGCAGTTTCATGACTCACAGCAACTCTTCCATAATAACTGATGTGATAAAAAAATATTGTAAGGAAACAAATTTCAGCTTTAGCCTTGCAAATGATTATTATAAAAATTAACAAATACAAATTTTTGAAATAGTAAAAGACATTCTGTGTTCTTTAAAACTATTTATTTATTGCACACTCACATATTGTTAAGTGCCGTGGCAGATTCCTAGAAATTGTTACTCCATTGGTTTATAATCCATACTTTGCGTTGGAAACTAAAAATCTGGCCTTTTCATATTAAAATTGTTGTATACTTGAAAAATAGACCAATAATGGTACCTTTTAGACAGGTTATTTTGTAAGTACTCATAGTCAGTTGGTATTGTGCTAAAGTTCTGTTTCAGGTTGCTGAGGCAACCTGCCACAGTTTGGCTAATTCTACAATTTACTGATGCGCTAACCGGAGACTTGAATCTTAACTTCGGTATAGGTAGATGGGTAGCTATGGAGTGGCAGATAGGCTGTGGGTTGACCATAGCTACCTATAAACATTTGCAGATTACTGACAAGAGATTGGTGATACTCAGTTGATAGCAAACAGTAGGATGATATGAAAGAGATGAATGTATAGAACATGGAACACATCAAGAGCTTTAGTGGTGTTTAGGTTTCTGAAGTTTCCCAGCTAAGACTGCCTATTATTAAAGCTAGGAACATGTGCAGTGACCAGATTACATCAGTCACAGTAGAGCAGTAATTGATTTTCTCTGAAGCAGTTTGGATCCTGTGAACAACATTCTGATACTACAGTCTCTTCTTTTGATGTTTTTGGAAAGTGGTAAGATTTATTTTCCTTTCTGAGATGGTACCAGCCCATTTGAAACACTGGATCTAGAGGCACATAATGGTTAAGGTGTCTTTGTTATGTAATCATAATCAGTGGGGATGATGAGTATTCTGGAAGCTGCCTTGTGGAGCCGTTTGCTTTGCTGCATGTTGTCATTATAATTGCATGTTGGTTTTTTTTTTTTTTTTTTTTTTGAGACAGAGTCTCAAGCTGTTGCCCTTAGTAGAGTGCCATGGCATCAGCTCACAGCAACCTCAAACTCTTGGGCTTAGCGATTCTCTTGCCTCAGCCTCCCAAATAGCTGGGACTGCAGCTGCACCCACCACAATGCCCAGCTATTTTTTTGTTGCAGTTGTCATTGTTGTGTTAGCTGGCCGGAGCCAGGTTTGAACCTGCCACCCTCGAGGTATGTGGCCGGTGCCCTGCTGACGGATGGATGCCACCCAATTCATGGTTTTTGTTACTTGTTTGTGTGAATGATGTTATTCCAAAGACTGCCATCCAAGGCCATGTAGTAATCAAGCAATGAGAACAGATCCTACTATGCAATCCTGGTGTGGGATCATATTTAGAATGAGAGAACAAGCATTACCAACTTGACAGGAATGAATTCCAAATTGACACACCATTGCCTCACTTCTTACCAGTGTGCTCCTAGAATGACGAGCCCATGGTGTGCACTTAGAGTTTGTTAGTTGCAGGGAAGCTTGGATTTCAGGAGAAGTATTTGGATGGCATTTTAAGAAGCCGTTTCATTCTCAGTAGAGTAGAAAAAGTCAGCATCTGAGTCTATGGTACAGTCTGTTCTCTGGATGAACGCAATGACTGTCTCCGTCACATTTTTCTGATATTTATTCTGTAAATCAGCTCCATGAGCCCCTGCCACTCTTCTGAATAAGCTTCCAGGCATTACCTGCATGCTGTGTTCCTGTGGAAGGATGGCAGTAATCTCTGCTAAGATAAACGGGAGCTTCTGTGGATAAAGCGTAAAGGCAGTGAAGTGTGAGTGGCTGGAAGATTTAATGCTTCTACAGGTAAATTTTTTGGAGGGGAATCTGGCATTTAATCAAATCCAGAGCCATTATGTAAATTTAATCACCTTGCAACACACTGGTAATTTTATTATCTCCTTTTCATTTGTCAGTGCTTAGATACAACTTGAGCTTGGAATTCCAGAGGTAGAACCCTGCAGATTGGAGGCATATTAAGGAAAATGTACTGTGGAAATGAGATAAAGCCCCTATCCTTGTCATTGATTGTCATTCTTGTATGCATACAGGTGTCCAATAAAGGGTTGGAGAATAAAATGTGCCAGTTTAAAGTTTTCCAATCTTTCTTAAAGCCCTCAATGAATTGCAGAGAGCGTATTTAGAACAGACTGTACTAAATCCATTCCCGTCAATGAAAATCTTTACACTGAGTGAGATGTGATTCAAACTCTTCTTAACACAGGGGCCTTTACACTTGTGTAGCCCATTTTGCCTTGGACTCGGGCGCAGGAATTCTGTCCGAGATTGCATTATTTATGCCATAAGGTTTACTTAAAATTGAAGATGGTATTTCCATTCATCAACACTAATTTTGATAGGTGTTTAAAAACTGCAGTGGGGTTGGTCAACCTGAATGGACAAGTTATTCAGCACATCACTATTAATATGACGAGAGTAAGGAAGAAAAAACCTGGTCAAGTTGGATTTCCCTAAAGGCATATAGGCTTTTTGACCCTGTAATTCATGCTAATAATTATGTATTAATAAAGGCAATGAAACTAAATACTTTATCTGTGACCTAAAGAGTGAAATTAGAAAGGAGGGAAGAGAGGAGACATGATACTGTGTTGAACTGACTTTGCTAAGGCAGAAGAAATGGCATTTGTTTTCTCAGTGTCTTTTCTTTCCCCTACTTCTCTGTTTACCTTCCCCTACTTGTTCTCATCTCTCTTTTTTCCATCTCTTAATTTGACAGGAACTCCTGAGACTATTTCTGATCCTTATGTTGGAAGATGTAGGCCCCTGTTCAACTCGGAATTCTTCCCTTTAACTCAGTTGATGACTTTCCTTTTTATATCTTGTGGCCATGGGAGCCAGTGACTCAGGCAAATGCCCTTAATTTAGGCTCACCTTAGATAACCAGTTTTCCCCCAGAGTGCTACTTATTGAAGTAAACACTTTTCCTCTTTTTAAAAACCCTTAATAACTTTCTGACTCATAATATGTTACATAATGGGTAATTACAATGATATGAAATTATGATTAAAGTGTTTTACTATTCAGTTGTCCATCAAGGTCGTTATCTGTTCTCTATTTACCACTCATGACTGAGGTTTTTCATTCTAAAATAGAGATAATAATCACTACCTACCTCTAGGGGTTGGTATAGGATGCAGTGAGACATTGGATGTGAAAGTATCCAGCACTAGCTTTGGCATAGAGCATATGTTGGGGTTATACAGTATATAAAGGAATTGCACAGTGGAGAAATGACAGATTGCTTGTAGGGGATGTCCTAATTTGTCTGAAACATGTTATGTGACTTTAGGAAATAGATTTACTCTATCTATCTATCTACCTACCTACCTACCTATCTCATCTATCTGTCTATTCCTTCAGCCAACCACTCATCTATTCATTCATTCAATAAGCACTTAGGAAATAACCTTTTCCATATTGAACACCAGCAATATAAAGATGAATATGATACTTTCTCTCTTCTTAAAAGAGCTTATATTCTGGTTAAGGAGAAGGACAAACAGAGAATTATAAAACACTGTCTTGATGGGGCACAGTGTCTCATATCTGTAATCCAAGTATGTTGGACGGCCAAGGTGAGAGGTTCTCTTGAGGTCAGGAGTTCAAGAGCAGTCTGAGTAAGAGTGAAACCCCATCTCTACTAAAAATAGAAAAATTAGCTGGTCATTGTGGTAGGTGCCTGTAGTGCCAGCTACCTGGGAGGCTGAGGCACAAGGATCACTTAAACCAAGGACTTTGAAGTTACTGTGAGCTAGGTTTATGCCACAACACTTGACCCTGGGCAACAGAGTGAGGCTCTGTCTCAAGAAACAAAACAAATGAAAAAGAAAAAAATACACTGTCTTGGTCCCTTTGGGCTGACATAACAGAATATCTTAGCCTGAGTAATTTATAAATTACAGAAATGTATTGCTTACTGTTCTGGAGACTGGAAAGTTCCAGATCAGGTGCTGACAGATTCATTGTCTGGTAAGGGCTCTCTGCTTCACAGATGAAGGGGCAAGAGGCTAACAAGCTCCTTCAGAAGCTTTAATAGGAGCGCTAATCCCATTCTAATCACCACATAAAGGCTCTACCTCTTAATACCATTGCTTTAGAGGTTAGGTTTTAACATATGAATTTTGAGGGGACACAAATTTTCAGACCATGGCAAACACTATTTTAAAATGTGACAAAAGTATGCAGAGAATATTATGGGAATAAGGGGAAAGTCTCTTTCCCAGCCTGGCATGGGAGTGAGTGGTCATAGAAGACTTTAGAGAGAGGTGGTGCTTAGGCTAAGTCTTAAAAGGTAAATAGGTGTTTACATGGTGACATAGTGGGGGAAAAGTGTATCTAGCCTGATGATAAGACCTGGGCTCTAATGGGCTGTAATTTCTGTATTGTCTCATGCCTGGCAAGAGTTCTGATAACATTTGACAGTCATACCTGAGCGTAGACCCAGCTTTTCTTCGTAGCCTACCAGAAGTGTTCAAAACACTATGGACAAGTGCATATTTTAGTGCTTCTGTAAAGGCATAGAAAGTAAATACTTTAAGCTTTGAGGGCAATAAGGTCTCTGTTGCAACTATTCAACTACACAGTGCTATCGCATCATAGTTGTAATTTGCATTTCCCTAATAGCTAATGACATTAAAAATATTTGAATATGCATATTTGCGATCCATACATTTTCTTTGTTGAAATATCTGTTCATGTATTTCCCCATTTTACAATTGAAATTTTTCCTTGTACTTGAGTTTTGAGAGGTTATTTTTAATTATATTGTAGAGAGAAGTCCTTTGTCAGATGTGTGGTTTGAGAATATTTTCTCTTACTCTGTAGCTTGTCTTTTCATTCTCTTAATAGTACCTGTCACAGAGGAAAACTTTAATTTTGATAAAGTTCAATTTATCAGACTCCTTTTTATGGATCATGCTTTTAGTGTTTATCTAAGCACTCTTTGACTAACTTGAGGTCATGAATATTTCCTCCTTTTTTTGGGAAAGTTTTCTGTATTTATGTTATATGTTCAGATTTGTGATTCAACCTTGAGTGAATTTTTGCATAATGTATGAAGTTCAGGTTGAGTTTTAAAAAATGTTGGTGTACAATGGTTTTATCACTATTTGTTGAGAAGCCTGCCATTTCTTCATTAACTTATTTTTGCATATTTGTCAAAAATCCAATGGTCATATTTATGTGAATTCATTTCTAGACTCTGTTTTGTTTTATCAATCTATGTGACCTTCCCTTTGCCAATACCAGGAGTGTTTTGATTACTGTGGATAAGTATAAGTCTTGAGATCAGCTAATGTAATTTCTACAACTTTATTCTTCTTCAAAATCGTTTTGGCTCCTTTAGTTTCTTTGCTTTTCATATAAATTTTGCATTCTACTTACATGTAAACACAAAAAATTTCTTTTGGAATGTTGATTGGAATTACATTAAATCTGTAGAGCAGTTTGAAGATTGACATTTTACTATATATTTTCCTTCAATTCATTAATATGGTATATCTCTGTTTATTTAAATCTTCTTTGCTTTTTATATCAGTGTTTTATACAGAGTCAGGACATATGTTGTTAGATCAGCGGTTCTCAACCTGTGGGTTGTGATCCACAGGAACTGTATTAAAGGGCCACAGCATTAGGAAGGTTGCAAACCACTGTGTTAGATTTATGTCTAAGTAGTTAACTTTGTTTTGAGCTATTGCTAATGATGGACATATATTTTTAAATTTCAGTTTCCAATAGTGTTTTTTTTTATTAGATCATATTTGTGCACATTAATTCTATCATGGGATACAGTGTGTTGTTTCCATATACAATTTGAAATACTTTCATCCAAATGGCCAACATAGCCATCATGCCATTCTCATAACTGTTGTGTCATAATTGTTGTGTTAAGCTAGGTCATGGAAGAAGCCCAAGTGTCCATCTATCCACAAATGGATCAATAAACTGTGGTATATGTACACCATGGAATATTATGCAGCCTTAAAGAAAGATGGAGACTTTACCTCCTTCATGTTTACATGGATGGGATTGGAAAATGTTCTGCTTACCAATAGCATTTTTTTTGATATATAGAAATATGCTTGATTTTTGTGTGTTGACCTTGCATTTTACACCTTGATGGTACTTATTTATTATTTTTAGGATTTTTTTCTTGTAGATTCCTTGGGATTTTCTATGTAGACAGTCATGTCGTCTACAAGTAGTTTTCTTTATGATATTTGTCTCTTTTATTTATTTATTTTTGCCTTAGTGTATTGGCTAAAACTTCCAGCATGACAATGAATAGATGGTGAGAGTAGATGTCTTACCTTGTTACCAATCTGAGGGAGAAAACATACAGATTTTCAGTATTAAGTATGATGTTATCTGTAGGGTTTATTTGAGATGTTCTTTATTAGGTTAAGAAAAATTACTTATCTTCCTAGTTTGCTGAGGTTTTTAGACTATTAATGGACATCAACTTTTGTCAAATGACTTTTCTAAATCAATTGGTATAATCATGTAGCTTTGGCTTTTTTAGACTGTTAGTATGGTATATTATATCGATTGAATGTTTCTATTATTGAAGCAAACCTTGTAATCTGGTGATAAGCCCCATTTTATTATGGTGTTGTTATATAAATTAATAGTGTGCTAATATTTGTTGAGAATTTCTATGTTTATATTCATGAGCAATGGACTTTCTTCTGATTTTAGATGAATATCAGGCTTTCCTTATTAAATACGTTGGGGAAAATTATTTTATTTTCTAGTTTTTGGAAGAGATTGTATAGAACTGACACTTTTCCTACTTTAAATGTTGAGTAGAATCTGCTAGTGAAATCATCTAGACCTAAAGATTTCTTTTTAATAAGGTTTTTAACTACCAATTCAGTTTATTTAATGATTATAGAATTGTTCATCCTATCTATTTCATCTTAGGTGGTGTTTTGGTAGTTTATGGTATTTGAAGACCCATTCCATTGTTTATCTTTCCAGTGACTCTGTAAAGCACTAACTCAGTATCTAGAACTTCTTCCAGTACCTAGTAGACCATTAATATTGGCAGGATGAATTTGTTAAATCAACTCTATTTTACGGATGTGGAAACTAAGGTTCAGAGAGGTAAAACAACTTGTTGAAAACGTAGTAGTTCATAAGTGGCAGTGGTGGTGCTCAACCCC